TGATTAATAACATTACTTCGTGAATGAAGTATATATATTTCTGCAAACTTTTAAATTCTATATATGGAGAAAAATAAATGAAGTTTACTTTATATTGGATCATCCATAATAAATAAAATTAATTAGTAAAATCATGTCTCAAACTCTTTAGTTAAGTTGGACTTCCATAACTCTGGCATAAATATTCTTATCTTTTTAGTGTATTTGATGGGATTTCTTATTTATTTTGTCTTTTTCTATCAACAAGTAATCTATTTTCGTTGTTTCGTACTATTTTTGCTATGGCTTGAAACCGAAAAATCGAACCGAACATGAATAAATCAAACCAAACCGAACCGAAGTTATTATGGTTCAGTTTTGGTTATTAAAATCACAAATCAAAAACCGAATAAACCGAACCGAAATTCTACAAAATTGAACCGAACCGACCGATGCCTACCCCTAGTTGATTTTGGCTTGAATTGGCGAAAGTTGAAAATTGAAGGTTTAAAATATTTATAAGTTTGATCGGGAGTTGACTTTGATGATATCGGGTTCGGATTGTGGTTCCAAAAATTTCAGTAGCTTCGTTATATCATTTATGACTTGTGTGAAAAATTTGAAGTCATTCCGGATTGATTTGATATATTTCGGCACGCGTTTTGGAAGTTGGAAGATTCAAAGTTCGTTAAGTTCGATTTGAGGTGCGATTCATGATTTTGATATTGTTAGGTGTGATTCAAGGCCTCAAGTAGGTCCGTGTTATGTTACGGGACTTGTTGGTATATTTGGATCGGGTCCCGAGTGGTTCGGGTGTGTTTTAGAGTGAGTTTTGAACGAGTTTGGGCATTTCGGTACTCTAATGATGTTCTAGAACAGTTGAAGTGCGGAGGGCACATTTTTGGAGTGAGGATGTGCGACTGCGAACTCCCAAAGTGCGGAGGCAGTGAAAAATATGCGGACCGCAGTTAAAAATGTGCGGACCGCATAAATCCTCCTGTGGCCGCAGAAAGGGTAATCTCCACGTTTGACAGTCTTACTTCAGAAGCTTATATTTTTTAATCTATAAGGAATTTGGAGATGATCCAAAAACAACAGTTGTAGCCCTTTGAGTCTAGTTTTTAGAAAGTTAAACCATTTATCATTTAGACATTTGTATCAAAAGTTATGATCAATTTACCGAAGCCCGATAGTGCAGTCACTACTGAAGTGCGATCGCACAATTTGGATACGGCCGCGGAACTTGGAATGTGCGGCCCGCACAAAAAATGTGCGGTCAGCACAATAGGAGATCAGATTTTTGTACTTTATAAATGAGGGTTAGAGTATTATTTCATATTTGGACTTTGGGAGCTCGGCTTGTGGCGATTTTCGTGAGATTTTCATGAAATTTATCGGGGTAAGTGATTATAACTCGGATTTGGTTAATATACATGAATATATCATTATTTTCATCATTTAATTAGTATTTGAATGTCGATTCAGAGTCAGATTTGAGTGAAACTAGTATGGTTGAACTCGTAATTGAATGAGTTATTGGATTTTATGAGTTTCGTCAGATTTCGAGACGTGGGGCCTATTGTTGATTTTTGGAGATGAATTTCGGATTTTTATTGGAAAGTTTAGTATTTTCATATGGAATTGATTCCTATAATTAGTGTTGACTATATCAAATTAATTGTGATTAGATTCGAGGCATTCAGAGGCCAATTCGCGAGGCAAAAGCTTATTGAAATAAAGAATTGCACAGTTTGAGGTAAGTAACATTTCTAAACTTGGAACTAGGGGTATAAACCCCGAAAATACGTGTTATATGATTTGTTTGGAGGTGACGCACATGCTAGGTGATGGACGTGTGGGCGTGCACCATAGAATTTGTGACTTAATTGATTCCGTAGAGTTGCATAATCAAATTATCATGTCATTATCCACATATCTTTCACATGTTAAAGGAATTAAGCTGAGACTCATGTTAAAGATCATGTTTAGGCTACGTACCGATATTTTTGGGACCCACAGAGGTCCTATTGTTATTGAATTACTTATTTAAATTTATAATTTTGTACTCAGTCACATCTATCATTTGCATATCATATCTCAGTCTCTGTTGCCATTCATTGATACATCATATTATCATGTCGGGCCGATTTTTATGACATTGTGAGCCCGAGAGACTAGAGAGATTATTGACTGAGTGAGCTCGAGGGCCGGATTGTGAGTGATATTTATGGGATCGGGTTGCACGCCGCATCATATTTTTATTTATTAATGCCTGGATCTGGTTTATTATAGCGCTTGGGCTGAAGGAGCCCCTCCGGAGTCTGCACCCCCCACAGTGAGCACAATTGCATTTACATTTGGGATGGATCTTCCCTAATCATTTACATTTAGGCATGGATCTTGCCTAAGCATTCACATTTGGGATGGATCTTCCCTGGGCTGGATTGGCCATATACAATACTGAGTGACTGTGCGCGAGTTATCATTTATATTTGGGCTGGATCTATCATGTACAGTGTTGAGTGACTGAGTGTGCTAAATATTGAGCGTGATGAGTGAAAATGTGAGACAATGAGATTGAGTACTCTGAGAGTGTAAGTACATGAGTTCATCACTGTACTGCATTGCATTAGACATGCATACTTGATATGTAGGCATAGATAAGTATTTTTTCTCATGCCATCTGATAATGAAATTTCTTATCTGTCGTTAAAGATTTTAAGAAAAATCACATATTTCAGACTAGCTCATATTTTCGGTGATTTTTGGCAAAAGATTTGAGTTTTACTTTTATACTTGAAAAGAAAATATTTATTTTCCGGAATTGTATACGAGCTGAGCATTTTATTATTGAGTTACTACTTGTGTTGCTTTAAATTGTATTGTTATGAAATGTTATTGGTTATTGGTGTGGACTCTGACCTTGGTACAAGCTCGTCACTACTTTCAACCTAAGGTTAGGTTTGATACTTATTGAGTACATGTGGTCGGTTGTATTCATACTATACTTCTGTACCTTGCGTGCAGATTTTGGATGTTGATGTTGTTGTACATGGCGGGAGCTAGCATTGAAGATGTACCTGCAATCCAGTCACAATTGCCTCTTGTTCTAGGTAGCTTTAGAATTTCTAAATTTGTTCATGTATATTTCAAACAGATGATGTATTTTTATTTCACATTGCCTTTGTAAAATCTAATCTAAGCTCATGATTTGTATTACCAGTCCTTGGGGAGTGTATTAAAGTCAGTTAAATATTAATTGAATCGGATTGTTGTTATTTGACTTACCTAGCGGGTGAGGTTAGGTGCCATCACAGCTAGTTGGATTTTGGGTCGTGATAGAACCAATATAAAATGTTCGTCGACTACATGTATGATAACGCTAAATATATATGAGAATTTCAAGTCTGGAGAAACAATTCAATTAGAATTGGTTTCATATGAAAGACATGTAGTTTTGGACCTGCAGTTCGAACACTTAAAAGTATAAAGTCATGATGTGTACAATCACTTTTATCTATCTTATATGTCTAGCATGACATGAAAACTTGATATGCATCTAAAGTCTATTTCTATGGCTTATATGACTTAACTTATATAACAATCCATGAAGGATTTAAATTGCTTAAAGCATATACAATTATTGGTCCTAAAGTACCATAACCTAAGTGCAATTTGTGCACATATGTATTTTGCTATAACTATAAGCACGATAATATGATATCAAGAATTTTACCTGTATGGAGATATTGAAAAGGCCATTCCAAGATATTATATGAAGACATTACATATATCAAGAATTATGATTTCAAGGTGCAACATATTCATTCAAGTTAATATGGCTGATTTGTTTATCAAATCTCTACAAACGATCTTTTGAATATAGTGCACAAGATTAGAATGCAAAGGCTCAAAGATGTGAATTGATCATCTTATCAGGGGGAGTTAATACGCGTTGTACTCTTTTTCTCTTACAAGGTTTTGTCCCACTGGGTTTTTCTGTAAGGTTTTTAATAAGGTAACCAAAAGGCGTATTTCTAAACAAGTGTACTCTTTTTCCTTTACTATAATTTTTTTTTCCGCTGAATTTTATTTTAGTTAAGGTTTTAACGAGGCATATTATCCGTTGATAGACATTCAAAGGGGGTGTTATAAATAAAATTGTATTCAAGGTGAATGTCTATCTTCCAGAGGGTTTTTAGAGTTTATTACTTTGTGGCTAAGTCACTTTTTTCCTATAAATAAATATATTTTATTTCATTGTAATTCATCCCAAATCAATAAGAATTCTCTCTACTTTTATGTGCAATACTTTTATTCTTCTTTTATTGTTTTGTAACAAAACTGCATTTTTTCTTCTTGCCTATCTGAAAAGGCAAAGGAAAAAAGCTGATACAACGTATTTATAAAGGACTTCCCTACATAAAGTTAAATTTATAGAATGATTAAGTTTAAATAATAAGTTTCCAAACAAATTAAGATTTTATTAATAAACTTACGTGTGTACAATTTTATGTATCCCTTGATTCTTTTTCCCTGATTCGAGAACTCTAACATCTTATTTCTCGAAGGAACAATAATGTGGGTAATTTTGTTTAAGTATTGGTGGACAATATTATTCTATACATATGCTAGTAGTAGGAGGTAGTTGGTACCTTATAAAACTAATGAAGTGAAAGACAAATTAGGCCGAATATTATGAAATTATGATTATTTAAAAAAAGTTAAAGACAACCCGATGCACAAATAGTGGCGAAGCCAGAAATTTCATTTAGGGTGTTCAAACTTGAAATAGGTAAAAAAAAATTTCAATAAAGGGTGTTCAATATATGTTATATACCATTAAAATCTAATATTTTACATATATATATATATATATACAATATAATTTTTTAAAATATATATTTTACTTTCCATATAGTTGCCCAAGAGATTGCATATTTTAGCTTTTACATAATATTTTCTCTTTTTTTTTCCTACTTCTCACTCTTCCTCCCTTTAGTCTATCTGCAGATTTCGCCGACTCCTCCTCTCCTCTGCCAATATATATATATATATATATATATATAGAAGGCGCCAGCTATACAAGCATTCAATACATATTCACATAGTTTTCTCTTTGCCGGCGATTTTCAATCCCTCCGACCACCGGTGATCCAATCGATACTTTTTGCCGCACTGGTACGTACATATTGTAAACTCTACTAATTCTACTTTTTTTTCCCTATGTTTTGTACTACGGATCACGTCACCTCAAGCCCTAATTGACGGTCGTTTTGTTTCCTTTTAATCAAGTTAGTTCTACTTTGATCAGATATTAGTTTATACTTGTAATATGTCAATAAGCCTAATATATTTTTGTCTATTCTCTGGTAGATAAAAAAGCAACATGTTAACAGGTTTAAGCGACTCTATAACGTCCAACAAGGAAGAAACGTTGCTCCTTAGTGACACTGAATTCGATCGTCTTGCTGACATTGCCAGCAAGACTGTTGATGCCTCAGGAGAAATTATCCTGAGGCATTATTTGGCTCGGGGCAATGTCTATAATGTCTCCGATGCTAACATTCAATCATGGACTAGTGTCGCGGCTCAAGCAGAGAAGGCTATGATCTCACTTATCTTAAAAGAATTACCTGATCACGCTGTTTATGGGAAACAAACTGGATGGAACAATTGCATTGAACCAACAATTCCCGAGTTTGTTTGGGTTTTGGATCCTGTTAATGGTGTGACGGATGGACTCTTGCCTACTTTTGGCACGTCGGTAGCTGTAGTTCACAATGGTAAACCTGTCATTGGATGCATCAATAATCCTGTTGCACAGATCAAAACCATTGGGAGGAGGGGCAAGACTACTAGGAACGGGGACGTTGTGAGGACACGAGCTTGTGAACACCTCGAACAAGCATATGTAGATATTAATGATCCTGATTACAATGAAGATGCCAAATATGCCTATAATAGGCTCGCGTACAAGGTTGGAGAAACTTTCTTTAACGGCAACTGCATTGCTTACTCTGAATTGGCTGCTGGTATGTTGCAAGTAGTCGTTGATTCTGCTGTTGAGCCTTTTGCTTTGCTTGGGCTAATTCCTATAGTGGAAGGTGCTGGAGGAATCATTAGTGATTGGCAAGGAAATCAACTTTCTTGGCGACCTTTTCCAGCATCTTCTGTTCCGCGGGATGGTTTCAAGGTTGTTGCTTCTGCTGACTTAACAACTCACCAACAGATTATTTTTGAACTATCGTAGTAGTTTAATTAGTCACAGTTCTATTCAATTATTTGGTTTTTGTCGTCCTCTGGTCTTTTTGTTCATGAAGTAGACATGGATGCGTACAGAAAGCCAGCTAAGTACTTATTGTGAATTTTTCTAACAAAATGAATATCCTTCATTGTGTGACTATACAACCTGTTTTAGACATTGTATGGTAAACAAAGCACTATCTTTAGCTTTATTTAGTCTTCATCTTCCTTAGATAAAATTGTTGTATGTTACTTCGTTAACTCAAGAGTATATTAAATGTGGATGAACATATCCAAGTGATATCTATTTGTTCTAACTTAAAGCTGAAAACATCTCCAGCAGAAGCAGGTTGTAGTCAATCAAAGTTAAAGGTAAATCTAGTGTACTTGGCACTATTAAGATTAACGGGCGTGTGCCAAAGAACAAATGTTAACCTTTTTCTAAATTTTATATATTGCAAAAGAACATATAAAATTCAATCCCTAATTTTGACCCTTGCAGCCAAAAGAAGCAATGAGGAAATTTTCCATAGTATGTGGAAATGTGTATTCTTCTCTTACTCACAATTATGCTAATTTCTCACGATTTACGAAAAGAAAATACAATTATTAGTTAGAGAGAAAGAGGGGTAGATGTCATTCAGTCAAGTATAAATTGTCAGAAAATTGCAGGAGCTGAATCTGCAAAGGAACATGCTGTGGTAATGCTATTAGAAATGACTTGGTTTTCTGGTATATTGAGTTTTAGAATGCAGGAATTGACATGACAGATCTGAAGTTTGCATAGTTGGCCTTGTTGTTATCATATTATCTTGTAGCGAAGAATACTGGATTTGTTTCTTTTTGTTCCAGTTTTCACTAGTTGTGAAATCCAAATGAGTGGAAATAAAACTGCCTGTTATTGTAATAGCAGAGTGGAGCGCTTGAATGCCAAAATCAAGCAGGGGGTTGTTTTTCTTTGACTTATCAAGCCAACGTATGCACATTCTCCTTGCCATATTTCCAAATTCAGATTTTCAGCTTAGTCCATCCACTTTTATTCCCTACATCTACCTTTGTTAAAGGGGATTAATTGAACATTTAGAATCGTCTTTCATATCATTGTGGAAGACTATGATCTCTTATTGTTAACAACTATGTTGCTCGGACTCTCCAAAAGTGTTGCCGCACCCGTGTCAGATCCTTCAAAAATGCACTAAATTTGGAGGATCTGACATGCACCAAACAACATTTTTGAAAAGTCCGAGTAACATAGGTTAACAAGATGGTAATTAACTTTTAAGATGAATTAAAGATTATACTATGCCCATGTCTTAATTAGGGAGGAAGAAGAGGTTGTTTTGTCTTCATTTACAGCTTCTCTCATCTCAAGTTCCCATACAAGTCTTTGTTTGTAAGATTATACTATGCCCGTGTTTGGTTTGGGGTATTAGCTAATCTCGGGATAACTTTTATACTAAAATGGTGGGATTATTTATCCCATATAGAAAGTGGGATAATTAATCACATGGGATATCACACCATTGTAACAGTTGGCTAGTTCTGGTAGAATATGATGAGTTTTGAGATCTGAGTCTGGCGGTTGAGCTTATAATGGTATAGATCTATGTTATACGGATTCTCCGAAAATGTCACGAGGTGCGTGTCGGATCCTCCAAAAATTATATCCGATACGGGTGTGACAATATTTTGAAGAGTTCGTGCAACATAGGTGTAAATAGCTTGTTTTATCACTAAGGTTGGGGATGCATGTCCAACCTTTAAGCAGTTTTGTTTTCTCTTGAGCTGTAATTCTTTCACTTGATAATAAAATGGCATCTTTAATTACCAAAAAGAAATGGCTATAGGCTGTGAATTTAATAATTCTATTATTATGATTCAGAGGGTAGACATGTAATAATTCGACTCAGTGAATCAACGATTATTAATATAATAAGTTGTACCAGAAAGGCCAGCTCCAAAGTCGTAATAATACCAAATTTCATTGTTTTTTATCCACACCCTGATGGACAACTCGTGCACGAAACATCTCGCTTACGCGCAAGGCCTGGGGAAGGGTCGTATCCAAGAGGTGTGATGTAAGTATCCTACCCTAATACAAGCATCAATGGTTGATTCGATGGCTCAAATCCGGGACCTATAGATCGCACAGATACAATTTTACCGTTGCTCTAAAGTTTCCCTTGCTCCAAAACCTGGGACCTGACGTAGGTACCCTACCCTAGCATCAGTGTTTTCTGTGTTTTTCTTTTTCATCCACACCCTTATACCTTTAAACTATTTACTCTTTTTTTTCCTTCTATGTTTAATGATCTTATGCCTAACCTTGTGACAATGCTTGGCTAGTGAATGCAGAAGCGGATGGAGACTTTTCCAAATAGACGATTATTTTCAACACAAAGTATAAATACATGTAAAAAGATTTACTATAATTTAAACAAATATTAAAATCTGAATTCATAATTTAGATGTATAATGAATTTAATTATAAGAATTTAAAATTTAAAATCATCAAATTTTAAATTCTTGATCCGCCTTCAATAGTGATATAGAGCCGTTCAAAACATGAACAATGACAAACTAATTTTCCAGAGCATGAACTAAGAAACAAGATTATTAGAAGGGTAAAACTATAATAAATAAATAAATAACAAGTTTGATCCGGGCCAATGTCGTTTTCTGCTTGTCTAAATGCTCCAAACTGTTTTTTCCCCTTCTAGTCAACCCAACAACAATTTATTTTATTAAATCTATGAAGTAATCGCCAAAAAAGCCTTCTCTTTAGATGCTTTTGAAGTACCTTTGGAGCACCTCATGGCCTATATATTGCAATATACAAGATTGTTTAGATATTGAAAATTTTCATTTCTATCTCTTTTGTTTCTCGTTCTTTAAGTAGATTCAAATCCACTACAGTATAATTTTACGGTCATGGCGACTTTAATCAACTCATTTCTAGATGAAATAAGAAAGATAAATATATTGGGAGTTGGGTATTTTGTGGTAACATTGCTAACTATTTATGTTACTCAATGGATTTATAGATGGAGAAATCCAAAATGCAATGGAGTTCTTCCTCCAGGTTCTATGGGTTTCCCTCTTATTGGAGAAACTCTTCAGTTGATCTTTCCTAGTCATTCCTTGGACCTTCCTCCATTCTTGAAAAATAGAATTAAAAGGTAAATATGACAAAATAAATATTTAGATGTTGTTAGTTCTAAATTGAAAGATTGAGTTATTAAATGTATTTCTAATTCTATTTATACTTATCTTTTATATATATATATATATATTCTACTTTATTTTTTTTAGTTTTAAGTTATATACACCGGCGGCGTAATTAATTTTTAATATTATCGGTGTAATTTAACATGTTATAGCATGTTGACTACTTTCTTGTTCTAATACCAATCAATGTTATTCAGGGCTCGTTTGGCCATAAAAAGAAATTAACTTTTTCTAGAATTTTTTTACTTTTATCCGAAATCAGTGTTTGGCCATAAAAAGAAATTAACTTTTTCTAGAATTTTTTTACTTTTATCCGAAATCAGTGTTTGGCCATAAAAAGAAATTAACTTTTTCTAGAATTTTTTTACTTTTATCCGAAATCAGTGTTTGGCCATGAAATTTTCAAATTTCACTTGAAGTTGAATTTCGAAATTTTTCGGAATTTGAAAAACTCCAAAGCCTTTCAAAATTTTCACTTTCAAAAACAGCTCCAAATTATCTTCATGTCCAAACATTACTCTAATATTTAAATATCATTTTCACTTGATTTTTTTTTTTTTACTTTTTTCGGAATTTCACAATTCTTATGTCCAAACTACCACTAAATAGAATTACCTGCAATTATTTTTTAAATAACCTGATTATGTAAAACGTTAGTGCATAAAACTTAAACTTTGAAATTGTTGTATGTTGTTAACAGAATACTAGTTGTTTGTTATCTGCAATAAAGGATAAACACACAGTAATTATTGGCTTTTTGAAATTTTTACATAAATATTGTTATTTACATTTTTTTTTTGGGTAAATGGCAGGTGACAGTTGATTTTGCTGCAAAGCAAATATTTAGTGGTGATCTTGATAATGCACCATTCAATATCAGTTACATGTTCAGGGATTTGGTTGAAGGACTAATGTCTTTCCCAATTAATCTTCCTGGAACTGCTCATCATAAATGTTTGCAGGTATCCTATATCTTGAATTAGCTGCGAACTTCGTCGCTGATCTATAGCAGAGATATTTGATAATCTGTCGCTAATCCGTTGCTAAGTAGGATTTTTTTTTTTTTAAAAAAAATTCGGAGGATCTAAAGTGTTTTCACACTTTCCACTTCAGGGTGACTCGAATCCAAGAACTAACGGAGGTGGGTGAAGATGTTATACGAACTGAACAAACCTCACTTGTCTCGCTAAGTAGGATTAGCAACCGATTTTACTGTTTAGCTACAGAATTTTGTCCGTGGCTAATTCTTAATTTTTTTTTTTAGTAGTGTCTGGAATTTGACACATGAAAATTAATACAGATTCATAAGAAAGTGCGCAAAACAATGAGAGATGTGCTAACAAAGAGGCTCAGTTCATCAGCAGAAAAACACACAGAAGAAGACTTAGTCGATCATTTGATCAGGGACATGGATTCTCAGAAATTTTTAACAGAAGATTATATAATTCAGATGATGTTTGGTTTGTTATTTGTTACCTCTGATTCCATTTCGACTACATTGGCTTTGTGTTTCAAGTTGCTTGCTGAACATGCTGATGTTTTGGAGGAATTAATAGTCAGTATCTTAAATATAATCTTGTTTAATTCTTGACTTTAATGTATAGTAATATATTAACATATCTAACCATATGTTATACTTAATCCAGGCTGAGCATGATTCAATTTTGAAGAATAAAGAGAATTTGGATGATCCTCTCACTTGGAATGACTATAAATCCATGACCTTTACACTTCAGGTCTCTTCTACACTTATAAAATACATGTTTTAACATATATATATACTGACAGTAAAAAAATTACACTATCAAGAAATTACATGTATATGCTCATAATGAGTGAAATTTTTAACCTGAAAAGTAAGAGAAGTAACCTTCTACAGTAAGATAAATTGTGTTGATAAAATAAATTTATCATTACATTATGGGATTGTTACACAAATAGCCAGCAAGATTTAATGTTTATTTTTTCTAGCTTGTATACATAGATATACATTGATTATACACAGTTATCAGTCGATGTAAGTTAAATTTGTAATAGGGTAGCATTCCTACTACTTTAATTTGACACAAACTAACATTCATGTAATTATAATAAGGCTAATCTTTTTTCTTCTATCATATGTATATGAAGTACAGGTTATTAATGAAGTATTGAGGCTAGGAAATATTGCACCTGGACTATTCCGTCGAGCATTAAAGGATATTCCGGTTAATGGTATGAAAATAAAAAGAAAAATTAAAAGTCTAAACCACATTTGTTGAAGCAAAAATTGGAAAATGGATTTATTTTCTTCTTTGTTTCTTTGTTATTTAGGGTATACAATACCAGCAGGTTGGGTAATTATGATTGCAACTGCTGCTCTTCACTTAAACTCAGACCAATTTGAGGATCCACTTTCGTTCAATCCATGGCGTTGGAAGGTATAAAAACATATAGTAGTTATTTAACTACTAGAAAAATTATGAATTGGTTAATTAAATAACTTCCTAATTGAATTTGTCTATTTTTGTAAAAAAGGAAATACAGCCAAGTTGTGCAGCTAAGAATTTCATGCCATTTGGATCTGGAATGAAGCAATGTGCTGGTGCAGAATACAGCAGGGTCTTTTTAGCCACTTTCCTACATGTCTTAGTCACTAAATATAGGTACTTAATCATATTTTTTCTTATGAATTTAAGTTATATATACTAACTTATGCTATTTAAGTTATATATACTAACACTGTAAAAATATTATGTTGAAGAATTAATCCAAATAGCCGTCCACCTAATCTCTTAAACTAAAAATAACCGATGAATGTATAATATATATATATATAATCAATGTATAATTTATGTATACCGGCTAGAAAAAATAAACATTGAATCTGGCCGACCCAAGTAACAACCCATCTAACCGCTTAAACTAAAAATAGCCGGTGAATGTATAATATATGCATAATTTATGTAATATATGTGTATAATTAATCTATATATATGACTAGAAAAAGTAAACAATAAATATGACCGGCTATTTGCGTAAAGATCCCAAAATATTTTACACTAGCAGCATAGTTTAACCTATGATAACATGTTAATACCATTTTTATCAGATTATTAATGAATACTTATCATAGAAATTTATCAGTAATTACCTTATAAAAATTACCTGAATTGTGAATATTATTTACTGTCAGTGCATATAATTTAAACTCCTTATCATATGAATTTATTATTGTGCTAAAAAATGATCAACATAGATTCACAATGTTTTGTCTTGTTGAACATGAATTTGCAGATGGACAATGGTAAAAGGAGGCAAAATTATTCGAGCACCAATAATAAGGTTCCCAGATGGATTTCACTTCAAGATTTCTCAGAAGAACCAATAAAAAAAATATCATTATCATTAACATATATTATGTCGTGTTTAATTCTTGTCAAATAATGCTTATCATTCAGTTTACTGCAAAATCCCATTTGTGATTCCCTTTTTTGTTTGTTGTAAAATTGTCTCCGTTTGTACTTTATTTCAAATGTCATACTTCTGAATATTGAGAATTACGTGTGCTCCTGCACAATACGTTTATCTTTGATATTCGGAAAAAAATAAAAAATAGCTAGATTTACAAGTGGTAATTGAAAAATAACCATTGATTCAAAAGTAATAAAAATTTAGTCACTTTTCTTGTAAAAATAAAATTTGATCAAAAATACCCTTAGAATCCGAAAAAATTTCAGCATAATATGCGAGAGTTCGAATTTTTTACATATGAGATTCAAATATAATGTGCTGGAGTTCCAGCATATATGCTGAAAATTTATACGCATAAGCTCCATAATTTAGTTTTTCGTGTTTCAACAAAATAGTGGCTATTTCTTAATGACTTTGCAAATGCTAGGTATTTTTCAATTACCAGTCTGAAAACTGGCTAGCCCCTGCTATTTTCACTTGATATTCTAGTATTATTAAGGAAAACTACTAGCTATGTCCATTTATAAGTAGCTTATTATAAAAATTAGTTGATTCATATAATATTACTAATATTAGCCAAATGCTACATATATTAGCCAATTAGCTATTTGTAGCAAAAAAATAATGTCAAATCTTTGCTTTCTTTTTTGTGGGTGTTATTAGAATAGATTGAGTATATCTTAAAGAGTTTGAATCTCAATTTTGGGATGATTTGGCAGAATTTTGAGGTGGTTTGAATAGAAAATTCGAAGTAGAATATGAAACATGAAAAAAATTTTACTAGTATCATTTGTGTATCACATATATATCATATCTATCTATATCTATATTTGTTTACCCGAAAAATGGATAGAGTTGAATTTATACGCAGTTCCGAGGATATGTGGCGTAACTTGACACAAAATATAAGGATCAATAGAAATGTAAATATAGATTAGAGAGAATCCGAAATAGGTAAGGTTGTCAGGAACAAAGAATTTTAGGATTCAACAAATAGAATCAATGTAAGAAATCTGAATGAACAATTCTTTACTGTAGGAGAATATAACACTTTTATTACAATGTAAGCCTGAAAAACTTGTCCTACACAAATAATAACCAAGCCCTTTTATAGTGGAGGGATTTAGCTCTAAGCATAATAAAATAAACATTCAGTGGGAGACCCATGATAAGTCAGCTTTTCCATAATTTCTGCCAAGATTCTCTCCAGTGGGATTGCAACGGCTTTTGTCTGTGAGCTCGATCTTACTTAGAACCCTCGATTTTGGTTTGAGCTTGATTTCGGCTCGAACTCATGATCTTGGTTCGAGCCTGATCCTGGCTCGAGCCCTCGAATTGATTCGAGGTCAATGTCGGTTGGTCTCTGGATTATCAGCATGGTAGATTTTGATTCGAGCTTGGTAATGATATCAAACTTGACACGGATCGACCTACCCAGGTTCGAGGATAGTTTGCTCCACCTTCGGAATCTCACTTTGATAAATTATCGTTTGAACTCGATCGGACGTGCTAAGGCCGAAACCTATTTCGACCGTATATAATATTATTATAAAAGTATGAATTCAATGTCGGTTTACAAAAATAACCTTATAATATTAAGCATAATAACTCATAATAAAAGGACATAATCGAAATTCTAGATATTAGTCTTATAATTCTATTAATTTTAGGACATAATTGGATAAATTGTCAGATTTCAGATAATAATACCCCTTAAGTTCGAACTTCTTAGCTATTTGCGATATTCTTTTATGCTTGTATTGAAATCTTAAAGCGAGTCCAATCTCACAAGGACAAGAACTTTTACTTATGTTGAAATTCTAGAACCATTCCAATCTGACTAGGAGAAGAACAAATCGAAGCTTATGTTGTCTCTATATATAAAGGGTTTTCTTTATTTTGAACAAGCAAAAATGTTGTTGAAGAATCTTTAAATCAGTTCTTACCATGTTTAAAATTCCAAAGTTATACCAACTACGAACAAGCAGTACCTATGAATATTGGAATGTTAGTCTTTCTATAGACTATAGGCAATTTAATTTCCCTCAACACGTGAATTTTTTTTTAAAGATTAGTCTTGTGTGGTATTTTCTTTGATGTTGTAACAGCTATAGTGAATTTTGATTTATTCTCTATCCTTTATTATGTAGTTATTCAATATTTTTGTTCCTAATTTGAATAAAAGACCCACTATAATTCACAGTGTGCCGCCGATGAGACACCAGCAGAACCACGGCCTGAGGAGTGTGTTCCCGGGGCGTGTGTCCTTACTTCAGATTTTAAGGTCGATAAAGGTTCATCGGTCCCTGGCCGGTGTGAGCCTGTATCGAGGTACATGTGTTCGATAACCGAAAAGCACCTCGAACAGCTAAAGAAATATTGCAATTGGGGTGAGAAAGAAATTTTTACGCCCGATGAAGATATCACTTCTTACGTGAAAGGGTTTTTGAATGTGTATACTTACCCTTTCACTTTGGGTCAATTTGATTCCGTTATTATTGACTTCTGTCGACAATACCAAGTAACCCTAGGTCAGGTCCATCCTTCTTTATGGCAGATCGTTATCCTGATCCGATATTTTGTGAGCAAGATCGAGGGGATACCGTTCACCCTCGATCATCTTATCCGATTGTACCGTCCTCGACTTTTTCGAGGAGGGTTAATAAAACTCCAGCGTCGGGCTACCAAGGCTCTGTTCTCGAGTATTGACGAGAAAAAGGACCGAGGTTGGATGGGCAGGTTCGTTCGAGTAAGGACTTCGGACCTGATCCCGACTGAAAAGATGCCCTTTCCCGAGGAGTGGAATATGAAACGTAAGTGTAATCTTGCTGTTACTTCTATTTTCTTCTTTCATTTATTCTCTCATCGACACTCCCCCCCTTTTTTTTTTGATGTAGCGGTTCCCTGGATGCCCGGAGCAATCCCCGATCTCAAGAACTGGGTACGAGCCCTTGTTTCGACCTCCGCATATGCCGAGCGCTCATGGCGTGATTCGTCAAAGGGTCGGTGGAAGGCCAAAAATCACGGTAAGCTCATTTCTCGGACTCTTTGATGATCCGAACGAGGTGGTTTTCAAAATATTTTATTAAGGTTTTCCATATGCAGGTTTGGGTAAAGACGCAGTTTTGAGGCCCTTGTCCAATGAGGAGGAAATTTCGGCCTCTGTCCCAAAGCCGGTGAAGGAAAATAAAAGGAAAAGAGCCTCGGTTCCCGAAGGTCCAAAACCGAAGAAGAGGACAGCTCGTAAGCCGAACAAGAATGTCATCCTTTTGACCGTGGAATCCGTTCTGCATCTAAGGGATGAAGATGAAGAAGCAGAAGAAGAGAACGATGAGTTCGCGCTGGCGGTCCGAATGAAGAGAACCACCGATGCATCGCCGGCTGGATCGACGATTCTCTATGAGGCTTTGCCTCGAACTGAAGGTATACCGGAGAAGGATTCGGGTAGAGTCCCCGAACTATCGGATATCGAAGACGCATTTTATTGGAGTCAACCGGCAGGGGATATGACCGTAGAGGCCCTCGAACCCCTTCGAACCGAGGAGGACGCTCCAGACGATTCACCTACCTTTCCCGCTTTTTCCGCAGGGGTGATTCGGGAAGCTCAAGCTCTAGGAGCCCTCGATCTAGACAGGTCTCACGATGAAGAAGATCCCTTTTATGACCTGTTTACTGGCATTGAGGACGTTGCCGGTGCTGGTGATGAATCGGATCTTTTTCAAGGATTGCGGCAAGCTTTGAATCAGGTGAGCTTTTAAAATTATTTTGTCGGTACTATCTTTATATTCGTTTTTCGTTAACTTCACTTCTTGTTTCTTTGTAGGCAGCGGCAGTTTATTGAGAACAATGTTCTCGATCCCAGAAAGAGCTGCATCGATACGCGGCCGACCTTCAACGGGCTACTGACGAGAGGAACTCTCTTAGACTTTCCCTAGGGCAGAGAGAAGATGAAATAAAAGATCTCCGAGCTGAGCTGGCCAAGACTTATCGAGATCAGACCGATTTGTCTGAGCAGGTAATGATGCTTTTGAAAGTCTATGGGCTTGATACCGGAATGATAGATAACATTTCGGTCTCACAGTTGCAGCAAAAAATCGAGATGATCGGGAAGCTTCGTGAGGAGGTCGGCATGATAAGAACGGAGTCTTTGCGGTGGAAAGAAGGTATGGACCGCTTTGCTGCGGAAAAAGAGACTGCTCGAGCCTAGTTATCATCGTCCGAAACCCAACTTCAGAAAATGAAGGATAAAGGCCTGGTTCAAGCAAGAAGAATTGAGGAGCTTGAGGCTCGGTTGGCCTCTGTACTTGCCAAGGCCGAATTCGATGTCGAAAAGGCAAAGCCGATGCGGATGCGCTCGTGGCCGTCTATCGGGCTGATGCTGAAGCTGCCCAAGTCCAGGCAAGAGAGGTAGCCGAGTCCGCTGATATTCGGGCGCATTGGCTCATCGAACTTGCTAAGTGCTGATCCAGAAGGGAAACTCTCGAGGAGATCCATGCTCGTGGCTTCGATCTCGCTGAAGAGATAAAAAGGGCCAAAAAACTCGAATCCGATGCTGAAGCTCTGGTTTCTGATGACGATGGGAGCGAGAGTGGATCTGAAAATGAGGGGGCTGATAAAGAAGAGATCGCTCCTGACCGAGAAGTTTAGTTCTTAGTGTTTACGTTGTAATGCAGATAAATTTGTATATAGACATATCTCCCTTTTTTGCCGAATTGGTTCCGTTTTTGTTACCTGTCTTGTGAGGACTTTACTCACGCCTTATGAATGTTTTCACAATGATTTAAACAACTGGATCAAACTGGATCAAATTTAGGCTTATTAGTTGTCAATGGTTCGTTCTTAAAGAAACATAGCCCGTAGGCGTAATGGTCGAGTGGGTGTTTGCTCGAACTCGAAATAAAAATAGCCCGTAGGCTTAATGGAGTGAGCGATTCGAACTCGTAGTGTAGCCCGTAAGTGTAATGGTCGAGTGAGTGTTAGCTCGAACTCGAAATAAA